TTTGTAGAAATCACAAAAAAGATTTGTACTTAATAGGTTATAGTTTTATATATTTTAACTGCTGACTTGGTTGTAACGTTGTTTCTCTTGAATCTAGCGATTTACCTATAAGCATGATTCAGATGTTTAATAATTTAGTAGTTTGGTATTATATCTGAAACATTAAAAAAAGTAACTTTCATAATTTGTTTTAAGATTTGTATGTGCGTGCGTGAGAGTCTAACATTCTTCCTGACTGTCACATTCTTGGCTTTACATTCCCATCAAGTCTTTCATTTAAAAACTATTGAGTTCACCATGCCACATTAAATTTCATCATTTACAGATACGATGTTAGTTATTTGATGTGTTAAAACTCCTGACCAACATTTTCCAACAGAAAGATGGGCTATATTGGACTTATAAAAAGGACTGATATTTTGAATGTGGAGTCTACCAGACTCCAATCCAAGGTTTCCAGAACTCTGGAAGAGGATGGGATTCACACATTACAACTGACCCTCGAAGTCATCAGGGACAGAAACTAACCGTTGAATAGGTTCAAATATTTCAGTGGTAGTTTTTAAATTGTGGGATCATTGTGTGTGTTTCAAGAGTTTATTCTCTGGATATATGAATCTACTTTTCTCCTTTCTCCTAAATTGCCTAACTAATGTTTTGGGGTATTAGGTTAAATTAAGTGAAAGCTTTTACTAATAAATTTATAAGTTTAGAAAAAACATGAGTAATGACGGGCATTCAGGTTTTGGTTTAAAAAGTCCAATGGTAGTGAGATTTTCTGCTAAGTCTCTGAGGAAAGGACATGGAACCACCTCCAACCTTCTCTGGTGACACACAGGAACAGGAGAACGCCGTCATTCTTCCACCCTGCGACTTCCTCTACCCTATTCTGACACCAACTGGCCTTTCCATGGTACTTTACTCTGCTGGATAATCGGTTGCAATGACCACACAGAAGTCACAGACAACATTCACAATTATGGGGATTTAGAAGAGGAGCTAATAAGTTACAAAATAGTAAGGATACAGTTCTTTTGTCTACAGTGCTTCTTTTCAGCCATGTTAGACGGCACGTCTTTTTCTGGTCTAGCAAGTGTTACAAAGCTCCGTTAGTGCTAGTAAGTGTCCCATGGGCACCTCCCACTGCAAGCCAGTCTCCGGCCCAAAGGCATGCAGCAGTGGGCTTCTTTGGTTCTTTCTCATGGACTCTGTCTCATGGTCTCAGTGCTGTGGCCTCTGGTGCTTCTGCTGCCTATGTCACTTAAAGCAGGGATCTCACATGCATTCCACTAATGTCTTCTCTCTTGATGGTGACAGGATTATTTTCTTCCTTATTCTAAGATGCCTCACTTTTATACCTAGCAAAAAGGCAAAACTGACCAGTCCCTAAGTTTGAGTCCTCTACACATTATGATGTAGAGTTAAGAGTTGGGCTGCAATCCACATGACCCAGAGTTTGAAACAACAGCAGCTCCTCGGGAGAAAGACTGGGCTTTCTACTCCTGCAGTCACCAAAACCCACAGGGGGCTCACTTTGAGTTAACATTGACTCAATGGCAGTGA